TTATGAAGAGGAGAGTCCTCCAGTTGATAAAGGACACTTAGTTGGAAGTCTGATATATTTGGCTCATACTAGACCAGACCTTGCTTATGCTGTTGTAAGTCAGCTAACGCATAATCCAAAAGAAAAACAAATGTAGGCAGTGGAGAGAAGAATTCTTCAGTATCTTAAAGTCACTCTTGGTAAAGGACTGTTGTTTTGGTGTGATGGCAATTCTCCTTAGAAGTTTATACTGATGCTGATTATGTTGGATTCGTGACTGATCGTCGATCTACCACTAGTTATTCTATGTTTCTTTGTGGTAACCTAGTGACATGGAGGAGTAAAAAGCAGGATGTGATTTCCAGATCGAGTGCAGAAGTTGAATTTCGAGCTATGGCTCAAGGTATTTGTGAATTATTGTGGTTGAGAATTATACTTGGTGATCTTAAAATAAGATGTGAAGGGTCTATGAAGCTGTTTTGTGATAATAAGTCCGTCATTTGTATAGCTCATAATCCAATTCAACATGATCGGACTAAGCACATTAAGGTTGATAGCCATTTCATCAAAGAGAAGCTTGATAGCGAGTTGGTCACCACTCCATACATCCCTTCTGGACATCAATTAGCTGATATTCTGACAAAGGGACTTCCCTCAGAAAGGTTTCAAGAGCTTACTAGCAAGCTGAGAATGATAAATATCTATTCCTGAGCTTGAGAGAGAGTATTGTAAATAATAGTATTTATTTATTTCCATTCTAGAATCTTCTTTGGGCTTAGCCCATTAGGTTATTTAGTCTTTTAAATAGAGAGCAATTGTACAGATGTAATACACAATTATCAAATAATATTATCCCTTTTTTAACTAATTGAAGAGCTGTATGGAAAACTATAACCAATGTGAGCGCAGATCTCTATATTCATATTAAGTGCATTAGACCAGTAATACAATCTAATATAATATAGTAAAGAGGAGACGAATACCCCTCCATACATTGATCACATGAATAATAAATTTAATTTTCAACACTCCTCCTAAAGTTGGATCATATATTATTAATAATCATGCCCAATTTGTTAGAAAGGTACCCAACTAATTGTTAGACAGTATTACTATATACTTGAAAAGAAAGAACTTGAAAAGTAGAATTGTATTATGTGAAAATTATATATTACAAATGTACAAGAACTTTCTATATCAAGAGCTGGGGCTAGATTGACTAAAAGGATTTGGGAAAATCAATGCTAACTTTGGGAACCTAACCCTGAAAATGGAGGTAGAAGAAAAAGAAGTAATCCTCTAGAGAGATTCTTCCCTATCTAAAACTTCAGCATCGCTAAAGGCCATGTTCAAGGCCTTGTAAGATGCTGGGGAAGGTTACTATATTGAGAACAAAACACTAAACCAAACAAACCTGGAAGTGCAGCCTACTTGGGCTGAATTAGAGGTATTGTAGAAGTTTCAGGAGCATTCCACGAATGACATGAGCTGCCCCTAAAGGAGACATGACCATGCAATATCCCTGCAGGAAGGAGCTCAAGTTCCTAGTCTCAGGCCTGAGCTCAAGTTCCTAGTCTCAGGCCTTACAGGCATCTCCACTATCAAAAGAATGACAGAGAGAATATTGTGGCAGATATGTTCATTTCAAGGTATCATTATGCCAATCATCAGTCCTTATTCAAGCCAAGTTCTCCTAATAAAGAAGAAAGATGGAGGGTGGAAATTTTGTGTAGATTATAAGGCTCTTAATAAGGTCAGTGTCCCGCATAAGTTTCCCATTCTAGCAATAGACGAGTTGATTGATGAATTAGGAGGGTCTATGGTACTCTCCAAGTTGGATCTAAAATCTGGAAATCACCATATCAAGATGAAGGAGGCTAACATTCCTAAAACAGGCTTTCGGATTTATGAAGGACATTATGAGTTCCTTGAAATGTCATTTGGGTTGTCTAATGGCTCCTTTACCTTCTAGTCTCTTATGAACGAGAAATTCAAACCCTTTTTAAGGAAGTTTGTGCTAGTTTTCTTTGATAACATCCATACTTATGGATTACCCCACCGCTATTTCCGCTACGCCACACTACAGTATTCTGTATCGGTTGTAGAGGCTGCTATTGTGGGCCAAATAAGAGAAATCACAACACAATCGCATCGCTATAATGAAGGAATTCTAAAATCGCATATTTAATCTATTTTTGGTGTCCTAATGCTCATATTAGAATGGACTATGACCCCTTTCTTTTAATGACGAACCCTATCTCTCTCGCTCTCTCTCTCTCCATCACATTCTCAGTTTCTCTTTCATTGCAGAAAGCCAAAAACTCACTCTCAAGTCTCACTTCGAATGACCCACTCCTCTCGATTTTCTGCTGACCCAACACCGGTATTCAGATCCTTTCAACGACGGTATTTAGAAGTTTTCAATTAGACTACAACTGCAGTTTGAAACTATCAACCAATTGTCAATGTTCACATACTTACAATTTTGTCCACATCGTCCTTATTGGCCTATCCTGATAGACATTAACTTGATGTTAAGAAAAAGAGTTAAGAATAACAATTATTTGCATACAAACGTATTATATATCATGTCCCAACCAATATGACAGACTAACATAGTAAAACCTACATTCTCAGTAATTAGAGTGTTAGCACAAGATATACGGCCTGAGGATGATAATGGGTATTTGCCAAGAACACTCAGTAGGCCTGAAACTCCACCCTCACAGCATTTACACTGGTCATAACAGAAGATATAAGAAGACAACACAAAGAATATAGAAGGTCCCCTTAAATTGTCTTCACATCAGAGAGAAAAGAGAGAGAGTCTGTCATTTCTGAACATGTAGAGAATCTGATCGTATTGATGCACATTTTCAAAGTGGAACTGAAATTATATAGAGATTACAAACAGAAGCTTAACAGAGAAGCTTTTGGAACTACCTATTCTGAAGTCAGTTACAAAGTGAAACAAAACAAAGTCTAACAAACTCTAAATAGAATCTAACAGACTCAGCTAACAAAACAACTCACATCTATTTTGTAACACTTACTTTATTACACCCTATCTCCTAAACTCAAGGAGGCTCGATCAATTGCAAATGGTCAAGAGACTTGGCAACCTGAAGCTGAGAGGGAATATATCTGACTACAAGAGACTTGGCAAGAAGCCAAGAACCTACCTTGAACAAAAAAAAGTCCAGTTCCATATGCTTTGTCCTGGAGTGTAGCACTGGATTATGAGATAAGCATAATGTGCTAAGATTGTCACAATATATTACTGGTATCTGAACAGGAATCTTGAGCGCATGAAGTGAAGTCTGCACCCATAGTATTTCAGAGGCAGTATTGGCAAGCCTTCTGTACTCAGCCTCTGTGCTGGATGTAGCCACTAATGGTTGCTTCTTTGACCACCATGAAATGAGATTAGAGCCTAGAAATAAACAGGAACCAGACATGGAACGATGATCATCCAGATCAGTGGCCCAGTCAGCATCACAACAGGCCACTAATGAGAATGGTAGATCAGGTGAGGCAGTATTCATAAGTAAACCATATGATAAAGTACCCTTAGGGTATCTTAAAATCCTTTTGACAATCGTCCAATGCTCTTCCAACGGCTGAGCTAAAAATCGATGAACTTTATTGACACCAAAAGCAATTTCAGGTTTGGTAAGGGTAAGGCATATAGTTGGGCTCCAAACTTGGTGAGCTTACATCCAAACTTTCCTTTGCTTTCGTTGCCGAGTCGAAGTAACGATGGATTCTATCCCAAGCAATATGTGATTGCCTTGTGCCAAGGATCTTATTGATCATTTCCTCTGACATGGTCAATTGTAACCAAGTAGAGTTTTATCAACTCCCTCCCATTCTGTGAAAGCTTTCTAGCACTTCGATCTTCTTTTGAAATGAATTTCAGTGGTATTTTAGGGTTCACCAAGAAATGTTCAAGTTGATGAGCTATAATTGGAGGTTCTATTATCTACTTCCATAGAAGAAAATTGTTGCGGGTAAGCTTGACAAAAAAGTGAGTATTGAACAGAGATGGAGATTTGGGATCTTTGGAAGAGGGTGAGTTGAATCATTTGAATTAGCTGAAGCGGAAGCCATATTTGCACAAAACTATGATAGATCAGGGCCCTAGAGAAGGCTCTGATAACATCGAAGAGAGAAAGAGAGGAGAGAGTGTGTCATTAAAGTGGAAATAAAATTATATGGAGATTAAAAGCTGAAGCTTAACAGAGAAGCTTCTGGAACTACCTATTCTGAAGTCAGTTACAAAGTGAAACAAAGTCTTAACCATAGTTGTCAGTAACAGCTAGCGGCCGGTAGTTGCCGACCCCGAAAATGGTATAGCGGTGTAGCGGGTAGCGGTATTGTCGCTACCGCGAAGTATTAATTCCACATATATTATACTAACAGTCAAGAAACGAGGCAATACCGCTTTTAGTATTAATGCTCAAACATAAGAAGTCACACAAAATCAAACACAAATCCACAATCAATGTCAAATACAAGGAACATAAAGGAAGGATCCAAAACTAAACACAAATAAACAATAAAATTGTCAAATAGTCAAGCACCAAAAGTGAACTAATGAAGAAAATCATCATCATCTCCGGATTCTCCATCAAAATCCAACATGGGAGTGGTGTAGCGCTGTAGCGGGTAGGGTATTACCGCTACGCTACGCCGCTACCTTCCGCTACGGCCAATGTCGTGTAGCGTCGCGGTTTGTAGTTGCCGACCGTCGCTACCCGCTACGGTAGCGGTTTAGCGGTGCTATGGGCCGCTACTGACAACCTAGGTCTTAACAAATTTTAAACAGAATCTAACAGACTGAGCTAACATTCAGCTAACAGAACAACTCACATCTATTTTGTAACGCTTACTCTATTATCACACAACAGAAAGAACATTACATACATAAAGAAAACACTTCTAACTTAGCTAAAACAGTTAAAACAGAAAACTTAACCAGCAAGCAAATATGAAACAATGATAAAAGTGGTACAACATACCAAAGGCATATCAAAAGCTGTCAAGCCTCCAACTGGACTTTTAGCAACGAAGACCATACGTATATTTGACAAATAGATAATTCCCTTTGTTTTGAGATGACCCCCATGATTTCTGACAATATAAAACAAATATTAATAGCAAAATGACGATTATATCCAAAATATTACATAATTGACTGAAACCAAAGAGGAACTGTACACTGACACAAGAATTTTAACTACTTTATTTCCTTGAATGCTTCCACCTCAAAAATGCTACAAGCTCAGATGCACTTTGATACCAGTTCCATAACCAATATGGCTTAACAGGGTTTGGTAGAGAGAGAGAGAGAGAGAGATTATAACTATTCTTACCCAGAATTGAATCAGTTATCAACAATAATAACTTGCAGCACAAGAATCTCCAAAAACATAACTCATTTCAACTTCCCACATAAAGATTCTTCTTTTTTAATGGGGGCTTCCAAAATACACCCTTCCTTGACTATAGCCGAGCAATCACCTCACTGACATTAGAACTTGCTTTTACCCACAACACAATTGAATCAGTTATTGACTAATAATAAAATCCCCGCAATCTTCTAATGTACTACACGTCATAACTAGCCACATAACTATCCAATCGTTTTGAAGTTTACCCTTTACTATATTTAAGCACCACCTCATCAACACAAGAACATGCCCCATGGAGAGACCCATTGTTCCCATAAACAAAGGATGGATCATGGATATTTCTTCTTAAAACCATATAGCATCTTATCTGGACGTGTTAGACCTCTGGATCACAGTATTTATGTTCTGTTTAGATATTAAAAAAAAAAGGAAGGAAAAGAAATAGAACAATATTATGTTTTCACTTACTCCTACTGTTGGGAAAGAAAAGAAAACGGGAGAAAGTAATTAACACATGAGGTTGGAAAACTTAAGATTTTGTGCTATCGTAAGATTCCTCTTGATAAAAAAATTAACACATGAAATTATTTTAAACTCGCTTTTTTTGGGAGTACAATTGAAACTTTAACATAAAACTTGAAAGTCAAATCAATTCCTCAATCATTAGAATATTACGGTTCTTTATGTTTCATGAGTTGCATTATATTACGACTTATGAGGCTGGACATGTGATAGTAGTACGACAGTAGTACTTGATCTAGAATATTACTATAAAAAGAAATGTCCAGTTAGTGTTTTATATCAACCTTAATTTCTTTACATTTCATTTTTCCCAATAGTTTTAACATAACTACTCTGCTCCCGTAAGTATAGAACTTGGCTGAAGGGCGACTTCTATTTCTCACTCAGTTGATTGTGCAGCAAAGAAAAGTTTCGGCAAATTTTGTTCAGTGGATTGATGTCTGATGATGGGCACAGCTCACGAGAAGTATCATGTTCCCAAAACTCAGGGACTTGTAATAAACATGAAATATCAAATGATTGAGATTTGAGGCCTTTCAACTTCAATTCTTTCCTATTTAAAAAATTAAACAACTGTTCCTATTGTTGCCTATTATTAAGTCAAATAGTATCATTTATCATCCATAAATGCACAACGCAGGCTAAAAGGCATCAATAAAACCAAATTTTCTTCTTTTTTTTTTTTTTTTTTTTTGCAAATTTCAATAGAATCCTAAAGAAAACCTTGAGAAAGAAATTAAGAAAAATAGAAATACGCACCCAGCACCAGGAATCTTATCGACCTCGAATTCGACGCCATCTCTTGCCAACACAAACATCTCGTTCACGAAAGGAACGGGCATCCCGTTAGGGAACAGTTGAGGATTCAACGCCATCTCACGAATTGAAGAAATCCAAATTCCAATGACTCTGGTTCTCTATATTCTCTCCAGGGAACAGGAATGTAAACTTTCAATCAAACGCGTAAACAGGTTTCTAGAACGACCCAGACCTGCCAACCGCAAAAGCCCGTATTCTTTCTAGTTTCTACACCTTTCCTCACTTACCTCTCCGCGTCGGTTGTATTTTTTATTTTGTTTTACATAACATTTATTTATTCCTGTATTACACTCCTTTAAACAACGTTTGATTTGATTTAATTAAATATAATCCATTCATTTTACATTTGGTTTAAATTCATTTTTATTTCTATATATTAATATTTTCATCATAAATTAAGAGTTTATTCTTTTTACATTTGGTTTAAATTCATTTTTTATTTCTATATATTAATATTTTCATCATTAATTTAGAGTTTATTCTTTATCTTTTTAAAGGAGGACTGAAATAAAAATCTTAACAATCACAAACGCTTAACATAATAATTACATTATATTATAAAAAGCGTAAACACTATTTTTGGTCCTGACAAAAAAATTCGGTCTCCACTTTAGTCCCTTACAAAAATAAATTAGTCAGTTAGTCCCTAAAAAATTCAAAGTGAATCCATTTTAGTCCTTTTGAGGGACTAATATGGGTCTTTTTTGAATTTGAGAGATTACGATTTCAACTAAATTGGTTCACTTTGAATTTGTTAGAAACTAAGTGACTAATTTATTTTTGTAAGGGATTAAAGTGAGACCGTGTTTTTTTGTTAGGGACCAAAAAAGGTATTTACTCTTATAAAAAATAATTCATAAGTTGATTTGTTCGACTCAAAGATTAATTATTTATTTAATTAATATATAAGAGCCGAGTAGGTGGAGTGAAAATATGTATTTGATCCTTCTCAATATTATTTTTGGGAGATGTTTAAAATTAATCTTGAACTTGCCCTGAACCTATGAAGCACCAACACTTCAAAAATCTTGTGTCGTGTTCGATACTCCAATACTCATTGCAAAGACTCAAAAAATGGTTCAAAGGTTGCGTTGCGTTACATTTTGAGTTTCAACTATTAGATTCGTTGTATTACGAATTATTCTATTGAGTTTAATATAAATATTTAAGATATTTTATGTTTCTTTGCAAAATTGAAGAATATTATAAGTTTACTTTATTTTTTGTTATATTATTGAATATTAAATATAATATACATTACATAAATTAAAAAATTATTTAATATCAAAATGTGCCCTAACGTATCGAGATTTAACATTTTTTTAAATTAACGTGTAGGAGTGTCGTGTCGTGTCGTATCATGTGTCTCGTGTCAATGTTGGTGCAACATAGCCCCGAACTTCGAATTAATCCATAAAAATTTTATGAAATTATTGGAAATAATATTAAAAAAAAAGGTTAATTATTTTAACCCGCTTAATACGAGATGAATTGAATTGAATTAACGGATTAACAAGTTATTCCAATGGATGATACCTGTTTTGCTATCACTAAATAATTCATCTTAATATTTTAAGGCATAGCTAGAGAGCGATGGGTGAAAGTTAGACTTGATCTTAATATTTTTTTATTTTTTTTTGGTACACTGATCTTAATAAATTTTACCCGGTAAGTTAGACGACACATTCAGATAAGATGTGGATTTATTCTTGGCATTAGTTAGAGAATATTTAGTCAACTCATTAAATGTTTCCAATTCTGTAATATGATCGAACAGTCCGTTTGATTGAAAAATTAATCAACCGGTCAAATGCGTCCATTCTAATCATTTAACTTAAAAAATTAAATGACCAAAGAACAGGGGATAACAAGTAATGGACAACCAAATCTTTCTATATTTTTGTATTTTTTATGAGTTTAATATTTCTATTATAGTAAAAAAATTTATATGTCGCATTCACATAAAAGTGAATAAATCTTATTATAAAAAAAAAAGAAAAAAAATATTAGTGCGGCTTATTCACTTTTATATGAGTACAATGGAGAACTTTTTTTTATTTTGTTTTGCAATAAAAGTATAAATATTTTCTTCTTTTTATATTAACCAAACATTTGTAAGTATTACAATATATGTATTATTTTTCTTTTATTTGATTTTCAGTTGTAACTAATTGTAACTGAGTTGGATATTATTCTGTTAGGACCCTTTTTGTGGTGTGTGTGTTTTCTCATTATGTTACGATTCCTTTTTGTGATGGCTGATATATAGCCCCTTGTATTCCATTATCATTCAATGAATTCCAAGATGAATATTTAGAGTCTTTTTCTGCCATTACTAATGGCTCGTGGCAACAATCGGCCACCACCAAATGATTCCTCCTCTGCAAATTCAAGGACATCCACATCCATGGATGCTTCCTCTAGCCTGTATTTTTTACATAGCAGTGACCATCCTGGTCTTGTTTTGGTTTCTCATTGCCTCTCTAGTTCCAATTTTAATTCCTGGCATCGCGCAATGTTGCTTGCTTTAACCGCCAAGAATAAGTTGGTGTTCGTTGATGGCACTCTTCTTCATTCTCCCCCAACTGATATTTTGTTCTCTGTTTGGATCAATGTAATTCCATGGTTTTCTCATGGGTGTTGAATTTCGTCACCAAGGACATTGCCAATTGTCTGCTCTACTTCACCAATGCGTGTGAAGCTTGGGCTGATTTAAAAATACAATTCTCTCAAGCGAATGGTCCTCGCATTTTTCAACTAAAACAACAGATCTCCTCTCTTTGTCAAGGATCTTTGGACGTCAATGGCTATTACACTAAACTGAAGTCTCTCTGGGATGAATTACTGGATTATGCTCCTCTACCTCTCTGTACTTGTGGTGCTCTTCGTCTCATCCATGATCATAGAAGCAGGATCATGTTCTCCAATTTCTTATTGGACTCAATGATTCCTGTAACAGCCTGTTGTACACCGGTATTGTTAACATTGATTATGATATTAAACGCAATTATAATCACAGCAGTTCATTTATAAAAATGCGAGTAAACTTTTTCCTTTTCATCACGCGAGCATTTAAAATAATAATAAAGTGTAATGAATAAAAGTTGTGACCATAACTGAAAACTAATCACGAAATAATTTAAAACAATTGCCTAACTATCATATAATATTTCTCTCAAGTCACTAAGGGGTTCCTATAAACCCACTTAGCATCAATCTCACTTTTATAGTTTTTCCATAACTAAACCTGGTTCAGTAATTTGGATATTGTGAGAGATCCGCATGCTACTGTTAGTATATGGATGTCCTAGAGACAATCTTTTGATTAGATTAGGACATATATGGACCTTTTTATATTGTCGCAAATAAATAATAAGCACTCTTTATCCTGTTTCATATTTTGTCTCAATATTATTGTTAATATATTATATGAGTAACTGGATAAACCCCTTGGAATAAAATAGGTATCTCTTGAGTATCTGTGATGAGATCACGATCATGAGGGTTTAAGGATACCAGATGTTTATTCCTAATTTTATGTTCCTAGTCTAGAGACACTGAGGGTGTGCATGACAACCATTCTGTTCCCTGGCACTGTTTCTGAAAAGAAACAATTCTTTTCTATTTCTGTATCTTGGAACAGTTTCTGAGAAAAGAAATGTGTTTGATAACATGTTATATTTTTATTCTTAGAATGAGAATTGCGTTTGATAACACAACAAATAATATAATAAAAAAATTCCTATCGAGCATAATTTTTTTTGGATCATCACTTCCCTTTTCATATGGTGGCGACGGCGGCAGCGGTGGTACTGACGGCAGTGACTGTGGCGATGGTGGTGGTAATGGTGACGATGGTGGTGGTGGTAGTGGCGGCGGTTGGTGGCATGGAGGTGTTGGTGATGACGTGGTGGTGGTGGTGACGGCAGTGACTGAGACGGTGGTGGTGGTGGTTGGTGACAGTGTGGCAGTGGCGATGACGTGGTGATGGTAATGGTGATGGCATGGTGGTGGTTATGGTGGTGGGGGTGGGGGTGATGGCAATGATTGTGGCAATGATGGTGGTAATAGTGGTGGTGGTAGTGGTGGCGGTGGTGGTGGTGATGACGGCAGTGGCTGAGGCGATGGTGGTGGTGGTTGGTGACGGTGGCGTGGTGGCAGTGGCGATGATGTAGTGATGGTAGTGGTGATGGGCATGGTGGTGGTGGTGATGGAAGCGACTGCGACGATGGTAGTGGTGGCGGTGGTAGTGGTGGTAGTGGTGGCAATGGTGGCGGTGGCGGTGGTAGTTGGTGGCGTGGTAGTGGTGGCATGGTGGTGTTGGTGATGACATGATGATGGCATGGTAGAGGTGGTGGCGATGACATCGTGTTGGTGGTTGTGGTGATGGCGGCATCGTCGTGGTGGTAGTGGTGGTTGTGACGATGACATTGGTGGTACAACGGCGGTGGCGACGATGGCGGTGGTGGTCATGTCGGGATGATAATGGTGGTGATGATGATGATAGTGGTGAAGAGTAATTGTGAGAAATAAGTGTTTCTCATTTTGTGCTCGGGAACAAAAAAGCAGAAGAAATTTTTTGATTCTTTTTTCTGTTCTCGAGCACAAAAATTAAACCGGTTCATCCCGGGAACAAAAAAATAAACCGGTTTTACCAAACGAGTTTCCTATCCATTTCTGTTCTCGAGAACAGAAATTAAAAAAGAATTGATTATGGGAAGGTTGTCATGCACACCCTGAGAATGGGGATCAGTAATCTCGGGTAAGAATAGCACGGCTTATCTACTTGTATTCGAATACAAGGTAAAAACCTCATGAGCTACAGATATGGAGATGTCTTAGTTAAAGTTGTGGGTGGACCTATAAGGGTATAGCTCGCACTGAACAGACCCACAAAGAGACTCTATGAGGAAATCTTGCAAACCATATCATTAGAACAGTCTCTTAATATTTGGGTATGTCTTTCTTTAGACCAGAAGTTTTCACCTAGATTGTGTTCTAGAAGGCATGCTTTGATTGTATACCTCGTCTGCCTGAAACATGGAGACTCATAGGTATACTTTTGGGCATGTCCTGAAAGAGCACAGGCGCCTAGGGTGATAATAAGCTGAAGGAATTTGTCAAATCTCTGTGAGGGATTAGGTTATTTGTAAACCGGAGAAATCGGGATGACATTTACAAGACTCGGGAATCTATGCATAGTAAAAGAGATCATAAGATGATCTGC